AGAGGGGATAGTAGAGGATAGGAAAGGTAGCAGAATACAACAGTTACTAATAGGGCATTATGTAAAAATGTGGATGTGTAACCGATGTGATTCTGCAATCTTTGTAATGTTTTGAATAACCAATAAAAAAAAACAAATGGTTGATTTTAAAGTGAGCTGCTTTCAAAACATTGCTGAAAGAAATTAAGATGACCTAGGGCTAGGGCTGGGGCTGGGGCTCAGCAGCAGAGCACTTGCCTAGTAGGCGTGAGGCACTGGGTTCCATTCTTAGCACCACATGCAAAAATAAACAAATAAAATAAAGGCATGCTGCCCAAAATAAATAAATAAATAAATAAGAAACTAAGATGACCGAAATATATGCAGAGACATCCCATGTTCAAGAATTGGAACACTTGACACTTTTAAAAAGATAATACTACCTAAAGTAATTTAAAGATTTTTAAAGTTTTAAAAACCTTCTTTTTTCCAAAACAGGAAAAGCAGAAGGACAATTCACAATAGCCAAGTTATAAAACCAGTCAAGGTATCTGTATATGAATAGATAAGGAAAATATGGTATATACATACAATGGAGTTATTGTTGAGTCATAAAGAACAAAATTATGTAATTTGTAAGAAAATGGATGGAACTGGAAAGCATTATGTTAAATGAAAGAAGTCAGATTCAGATAGCCAAGGGTCATATGTTGTCTCTCATATATGAAGTTTAAAAAAGGCAGGAGGGTAGGATCAGCAGAAAAAACAGTAGGGTAGAAGGTGAAGGCCAGAGGAAGTAGTAGGGAATAAAATTGATCAAATTATATTATATGCTTGTACAAATATGCTACAAGGGAACCTACTATTCTATATAATTACAATGCATCAATACAATAAAATTTTAAAGGAAATAAAAACACTAGATTTGCAAGAGATCCCAAATAGCCAAAATAATCTTAGAAAAGTAAAAAACATTGAAGATTCACATTTCCCAATTTCAAAACTTACTATGAAACTACAGTAATCAAAAGAGTTTGGTACTGGGATAAATACAGGCATATAAAACAATAGGACAGAAGTGAGAATCCAGAAACAAAGCCATATATYTTCGACCAATTAATTTTCAACAAGAGTACAAAGACCATTCAATAGTGAAAGAATAGTCTCTTCAAAAAATGAAGCTGGGGCAGTTAGACAGCCACATACAAAAAAATAGCAGACCCCAAATTCATATCATATTGAAAAAAAGAAAGACTCAAAGACCTAAAAAGAAGAAACCTAAGTCCCTTAGAAAAAAACTGAGGTAAATCTTTATGATCTTGACTTGCTAATRGATTTATGAATTTGATAGAAAAAGCACAATCAATAAAAGAAAAAAAGAGGTGAACTGCACTTTTTAAAGTATTTTTTAGCTGTAGATATAGACACAATATCTTTATTTTATATATTCTTTTTTTAATATCTTTATTTYATTTTATGTGGTAGTGAGGATCAACCCAGTGCCTCATGCATGCTAGACGAGCGCTCTACCTCTGASCCACAAGCCCAGCCCTATTTTATGTATTCATTTTTATGTGGTGCTGAGGATTGAACCCAGTGMCTCACACATGCTAGGCAAGCACTCTACCATTGAGCTACAACTCCAGCCCCTAAACTGCGCTTYTTTAAAAACTTTTGCATCAAATGTCACTGTCAAGAAAGACAATAGCCAAGTTATAAAACCAAATACCTACACAATGCAAGAAAACATTTGCAATTCATAAATCTAATAAGAGTCTAATATATAGAATACATTAAGAACTCTTACAACTCAACAATAAAAAGGCAAAGAATACAATTTAAAAATAGACAAAGGATTTGAACTGAAATTTCACAAAAGGAAATAACACAAATGGCCAACAAGCCTATGAAAGGGTACTCAGTATCATTATCATTAGGGAAATGTAAAGCACAGCAATGAGCAACAACTTCATACTTACTATGGCACTAACATTCAAAAATGAAAAATAAAACAAGTTTTGGCGAAAATGTAGACAAACTGGAACTTCTGTATTCTGCTATCAGGAAGACTGAACTGTTGTGTACCAGTTTGGCAGTTCTTAACAACACAGAAAATAGAATTCCCATGTGATGAGAAATTCAACTTCTAGCTACATACCTACCAAAATTGAAAACAAGTATTCAAAGAAATACTTGTACACAAATATTACCATATTATTTACAACTGTTAACTGGTACAAGGACTCAAATGCCCATCAGTTGAAAAAAAGAAGAAAGTGTGTTTATCTATACAATTGAATATAAAAAGGAATGAAATACTGCTACTTACTATAACATGTACCAACAAGGACAAACCTCAAAAATATTAAGGAAAGTGAAAAAAGCCAGACACAAAGGGTCATTATTTGTATGATTCCATTCATATAAATTGCCCAGAATAGGTAAGCCCACAAATATAGAAAGCAAATTAGAGGTATCTGAGGACAAAGGAAAGGGRGTAACAAGGTGTGACTTCTTAGGTGCTGTATTTATTTCTTTGGTGATGAAAATGCTTTGACATTAGAAGTGATGGTTTCTCAACATCATGAATTTCTAAATTCCACTGAATCATACACTTTTAAATGGTTAATTTGCTATTGTGTGAATATTTTACCTTAGTTTAAAGAGAGTTGCTTGTATGTTTTAGTCATTTGAATAACTTGGAAAAATAAAATGGTAATTATAAATRTCAATGTCAGAACACACAGCCTGGGTTCAGATCTCAGCTTTGCCAGTTCCAGMCAAGTGACATAAGCAAGTGACTTAATGCTCTTTGTGCCTCTGTTCCTCATCCCTAAAACCAAGTTGATAAAAAATACTTGTAGGACATTAAGAACTAAATAAGTTAACACATTTGAAACATTTAAAATGATACCTTGCAAATACTAAACATTCAGTAAATATTAACCAAAAACAGCTATTATTTTTCTGACAAYGAAAAAACAGGAATAATTTCATCTAGCAAAAGACTAAGAATTCTAAGATCTTTTTCAAAGATGGTATAAATCATAAATTCACTATTGGTAAATTCTATCCCATAGGCAGATAATATAAGCACCTAAAGTAAAGATCTGTCATATACCCCTAATTCCTATTTTAAAAAGTGTCCTGTGCATGGAGCCAAAGGCTGTGTGACTCTCCTGAGGTTGGTTAGCATCTCCTCGTAGCATCCATGTAGTAAAAAGAACAAAGAGCATGCTATTTCAGAATAGTCAATAATAAGGAATAGGTAGTATACAAAAATCAAGCCAGAACTGAATAATGTCAAACATGAAGTAGAACATATATCAGTGAGGATCTAGAAATACTTGAGAAAATTTGAAACTTCTCATTAAATTCTTCAAAAATACTTGAAGTAAAATAGGAAGCAAACCAGCAAAGTGTCAACTTAAATAGTTGCATAAGTGGCACTGGGGACAGTGCAATACACACACAAACACACACATACACACACACACACACACACACACACACACACACACATATATCCATATACATGCCCACTTCTGAAGATCATAGGAAAAGCAATTACTAAAGAGGTAATGAGTAAGTCCAACTTCTTACCCTCTTCGGCTTCATCCTCCTGGGGTGACAAGGGACCCCCTCCACTAGTAGGAGTGATGGGTTCCTCCTTGTCAGACTCCCGCTGTAGACTCACCACCTCATATATCACATCTCCAGCACTGGTATGGCCTTTTCCCTCAGACTGAGAAAGATATAACCATGTAAATATTAGAAATTTAAAGAAAATACTGAAAGAGAAGTATTTCAATAACTCATTTTTTAAAAAAGCTAAAATTTAGAGCAGTACATCCTGTTTATCTACAGCATGTCTAAAATTGAGAAAACGTTTAAAGTTCATTATTCTTCACATGACATTCCAAATGTATTGTTCCCTTAGCATTATTTTAACCAACACAATGAAACCTACTAACTATTTAGAGAGAACTCAACTTCTTTTCATTAGAAAAATTTGAGATACCACAGGCTGTAGGACAAATAAGCATACGGGGGTCTTGGAACTATCTCATATAGAGGTAAAAGATATCAACTTCGCTATTCACTAATTCATGGAAGTACTRTTTACCTTATAAACAGTCTGCATTCTAAATAGAGAGAAAATGAAGCCAACTATCAATTAACTCGCCTTCACAAGGCCCACACTTCCCTGAACAAACCACCCCACCTCTCCTTCCAGCTCTATCTCTGCCCAGTCTAACACCACATTGCAGCCCACTGACCTGTCTTGCTTCAGCTCCTTCAACCCTTTAAAACCCTTCCTAACTCAAGGTCTTAGGGCATCTTTTTCCTCTGCTAAAGTTTTTCTTCCACTCTTTGCTCACTCCCATCCATCCCAGATTCTAACCTCCAATGTTACTTCTTCAAAGAAATTTTCCAGACCTCTATTCCCAATCTAAGCTAAATTCTTTATGTTTTTGATTCTCATCAAATTCTGTCCTTWGCCTACATTGCACTTACAACAAAATAATTACACACTTATTTTTAGACTTATTTGTTTAATATCTATCACATCCACAAGACAGTAAGAACAATAAGGGCAAGAACTGTGTTGTTTTCAATAAAAAAGTAGGTGGTACATGACATACAGTAAATGTATGTGAAATAAATGACCAGAAAAATGGKAAAACGCGTGGATTTGGGATCAAAAAGACCTGGAGTCTGAACTCAAACTTCACTTGCAGTCTGATGTGTGAAACTAGACAAATTACTATGTTGAGTCCTAGTATCTGTATCAATAACACAGAAATATCACCACTATTCCTCCAAACTGTAAAGGTTAGGTATGGGCTGGGGTTGTGGCTCAGCGATAGAGCGCTTGCCTAGCATGTTCGAGGCCCTGGGTTCGATCCTCAGCACCACATAAAAATAAACAAAATAAAATTATTGTGTCCAACTAAAAAATAAATATTTTTTTAAAAAAGGTGGTTAGGTATGACACTTTTAAAGTTCACAGAAGAATTTGGAAGAAATTCATTATTATTATGTTTACAGCACCATACTAGAATCTAAAAGACACAAAATAAGAATATAGGTATATACAGAAATACAATTATCTCTACTGTACTACATTTAAAGTTACAAAAATATAACAATTTTAATTATTAATTGTTTTCAAGAATTAATCTTGAATGACAGTCAGTTTTCAAGTATATCTTTAAAATCACTTCAAAAAATAAAAGTTAAAATTGTCCATTACACAGCAATTAGAGAAATAAAAGACAGTCATGAGGGGCTCAGGATGTGACTCAAGTGGTAGTGCGCTCGCCTGGCATGTGTGGGGCACTGGGTTCGATCCTCAGCACCACATTAAAATAAAGATATTTTTAAAAAGATAGTCATGRAAAGTTAAGTGGTTAAGTTTAAAGCAACCAAATTATTGCTATATTTCTACTATACTCCAGAAACAGAGGACTCAATTCATAGTAAACCATTTAAAGAACCATAAAAAGAAATACAGAAAAGATGAAATACTTGCAAAATGTTTGAATAATCCAGATAATAACAGGGAAGGTGAAAACAGAAATGAAAAATAGGAAACAAGGTAAAAATACATAATAAAATGGAAGACTTACATGCAAACATATCAATAACTATATTAAATTAAATGGCCTACACATACCAATTAAAGGAAAATAAGAATCAATTATATTGTCTCAAAAAAAATYCACACTAAATATAATAATATAGGTAAGTTAAAAGTAAAATGAGAAAATTTATGGACATGTTAGATAGTAGTCAGTAATGAGCAGAGAAATAAATGGCAAGGTCACARGTTTTTTTAAGTTACTTTGAATTCAAATGTATAATTAGATGGCTTTCATAAAAACACCACATATACAAACCTTGAGAATGAACAGGTGGAAACAAAGGGAACCAATTAAAGAAATATGTCAAGAAAGAAGGATTAATGGGACCAACTCCTGACAGGGTCTACTGAGGTCACTATAAAGCTAGGATTTATGGACATAGGTATCTCCATATATCTCAGAAGAGAGGTTTCTTTAGTAGTGCCGGTGCACTAAGGTTAAATTCTGACCAGCCACATTCTGACCAATGTCCACAGTGACATAGGACTGACTTGCAGATGAGCACCCCTGAATAGGATCGCCACCATGACCTGAGAGGACAAACTAGGGTCAAAAACTTTACCGCCTGACATACAGGTTGGCAGAGTGTAGAAGGTTCTCAAGGCAAACATCAAATGGTAATAAATTTGGAGACATCACTGTTCCCTTTTTCATTCTCTGCTTGGAGACAACCTACCGTCTCTCTTGAGAGTGAGCCTTACTATATTTTCACTTATAATAAAGTTCCTTGCCTGGATTTTGATGTCTGGCTTGAAATTTCTTTTGTTGGAACACGAGAACTAAGGCTTAAAAAATACAAATCGAAAAAGAGCCAAAGAGACTAGACTACCATGCAAGACAAGAAATCACTAAGGAYAAAAGACATTACACAATGTTAAAAAGGATCAATTCAACAAGGATATKTATGAATCCTCCAAGTGTACGCACCTAACAACAGAGTCTCAAATATATGAAGCAAAAATTGACAGAAATGAAGCGACCACACAATTCCAATTTTATAAGAAAGACTTCCAACATTCCTCTTATAGTAATCAAAAGAAAAGGCACAAAAATTCAGCAAGGTTATAAAAGAATTGAGCAGCATCATCAATAGAACCTCAAATTTACATATCACTCTACCTAAGAAGAGCAGAAAACATTCTTTTTAAATGCACATGAAACATTCACCAAAATAAAACACTTCCTGGGTTATAAAACAATAAAAGGTTCAAAAATTAAAATCATGAAAAATATGTTCAGTGGCCAGAATAAAATTGGAAATCAGTAACAGTAATATATCTAAAAAATTCCCAAATACTTAGAAATGAAACACACTTTTAATAATCCAAGGATAAAAAAAAAGCCAAAGGGGAATGTTCAAATTATAAAATATTTTGGACTAATCAAAATATGAAAATAAAATAACAAAACCAGTGGGATATATCTAAATAATACACATGGGAACATTTAGAGCTATAAAATGTTACCAAAAAAATATCAAAAACTCAATTGGGGCAGGGGCGGGCCTGGGGTTCTGGCTAGTGGTAGAGTGCTCGCCTGGCATACATGAAGCACAGGGTTCAATCCTCAGYACCACATAAATGTAAAATAAAGATATTGTGTCCTCCTAAAACTAAAAAATAAATAAATAAATAAATGTTAAAAAAAAAAACTCAATACCTCAACTTTCATCTAAAGAAACTAGAAAAAGAAGTTCAAAAAAAAAAAAACCCAAAGTAAGCAGAATGAAGGAAATAAAGATAACAAGATAAATAAAATTGGGAAAAGAAAATTTTTAAATCAATGAAATCAAAAACAGTTCTTTGAAAGAATGAATAAATTGAGAAGGCTCCCTTAATAATGACAAAGAAAAAAAAGACACAAAAAAGTGGATATCACTACAGACACCATAAACATTAAAGGATAATAAATTCTGCCTATTAATTAGACAAATTCCTTAAATGTCACTAACTATCCACTCTACCYAAAAAGAAACAGATAACCTAAAAAATATCTAATGAACAAAATTGAATATGTAGTTAAAATCCTTCTGAAAATGAAAACTTCTACACATTCAATTTTATAAACACATATAATAATATGTCACAACCAGAGATTTTATTTGGGGAATGAAAAGATTGGGACGAAAGAAGAAAAACCACATGATTGTATCAACTAATGTGTGAAAAGCATTTGAAGAAAATCGGCATTCGTTCCAGTTAAAGCCTTTCAGTGAACCAGGAATATAAGGGAGCTTTACCATCTTATTAAATGGTAACTAACAAAAAACTTACAACTAACATCATACATAATGGTGAAATATTGAATACTTTCCTCCTGAGGTGAGCAAAACCCAACACTTATTGTTAAGGTGACACTCCTCAGCAACATTCAGTGGAAGTCCTGGCCAGTACACCAAGGCAAGGAGGGCTGGAGAGAAGGAGGGAAGGAGGGAGGGAAAAGAAAAGAGAGGGGAGGGGAAGGGAGAGGAGATGGGATAACGGAAGAAATAAAACTATTTCCTATACAAATAAAATCTCTGATACTTTTTTTAATTTTTATTTTGTAGTTGTAGATAGCCTTTATTTTGTTTATTTTTATGTGGTGCTGAGGATTGAACCCAGGGCCTCCCACATGCCAGGCAAGCACTCTACTGCTGAGCCACAGCACCAGCCCAAATCTTTTTTGGTTTTGGCTAGGTTAGCAGTTCTGTTTAGCATTGACCTTMTTTTTATCTTTACCTGTTCAGAAGCAAATATAAGGAAATTGTATGCTACTTTGATCTCATATAGAACCTAAATAATGTACGTAGCAAATGGGCTTCAAATAATGTATTTCTTCATTAATTTGTTTTTATTTTCAGTATTAAGTTATTATTAGATAAATTTTAAAAATCTGTAATTACAAAATAAATTATATCWTTCATATTAAAATTCATCAATTTAGTGACATGACAGGCACTCAATAAATGTGACTAAGTTACAAAGATTCATCACAATGCACAATGCACAATGCCCTCCTGGGGGCTAGTTACAAACAGTATTTTTCTATGTGTTAAACATCATAGCAATTTGTATGCTTTGTGTTAGTTGAAATAATATGAAGGAGTGTTACACAT